GTTTAGAACACTAGTTGCTTCAGTGTCTGTGGTCAGTGTCCCCTTAAAAAGAAGAGTGAGACAATTCTAAACTGTTTTGGAGACACAAATAAGGAAAGTGACACCATGTTTTGTAATGGCATTTGGCTTTGGAAATGGAATGAGCAAGGAGATCCAGGAGAGGCCACATATTACAGCTTAATTTATTGAAAAAACATGGCAGCCTAGCTATTTTCTGGAGTAGTGTTATTTGAAAATACCCAGTAGCTGAATTTATTGTATTCAAATCCCATTGATTTCACTGGAGCCTAATGTCATGAATAACTTAATCCCAGTCAGCAAATTCTTCTTGTCCTGATTCTCAGGTTTATCTAATTCAGAACTTTCACATTTTCTTACCTCAGTGGTTGGTAGACAACTTGGTAGCCTTGTACCCACAATTCTCACGTGCCAAATTATTGGCTGTGCTGGTTGAAGATGTGGGGACTGGCTCCCAAATATTGTAGAGGCACTAGATTGCCTATCCCTGTGTGATGCATTGAATTAACAAGGGCAAAATATGCAGACTTCTTATCCTAATTGAGGGAGAAACAGATCTTTGGTAATCAGTTTAATCTCTTTTTATATTGCATGCCTTCCCCTTATGACCAGTAGTATAATATTGATTTGTGCTGCTTTGGTACTGTTCTGCTTCACTCAGTCCAGTAATCAATGTGGCATGACAGCATCTTTAAGGGCTTTGGGGGCATGACAGCTGACAGAAAACTCTACAGATGTTACTAGGATACAGTGACATCCTCTCTGTGACAGTAGACATCCTCTCTGTGTCTAATTTTTAAATATGAACTCTGTGTTTTCAAATTTATGCTAAAGTTAACAGGTAGTTTAATTTTGTCTTGCCTTAAGAGAGGTTCTTGTTTCTTGCAACTTTGATGCTGTTCATCAGCACCTGGTGCCCCTAAAGAGCAGATATGGGACCTACTGGCCTCTAGATCAGGGTTTCTCAGCCAGGTTCTGTGGAACCCTAGTGTTCTGCAAGAGCTTACTAGGGGTTCCCCGGGAGATCATGATTTATTTAAAAAATTATTTTAAATTTGGGCAACACACTCTTGTAGTGATGAGTAGAGACCAAACAAAAATCTAGTTACAGGTGAATGCTATATTGCAGGAAGGGAGAAATATATTACAGGAAAGGAAGAATATATTGCAGGAAGGGAGGAATACAGTATATTGAAGGGGAGGGAAAAGTGCATTTTTCAAGAAATTAATGGACTTGTCCAACTTAGTCTGTGATGTCAGTCTCCCCCTCCTTCATCTTTTCCCTGCAGTTTTCTTGTAGTTATTTTATTTTATGTTACAGACAAACACTGAGTTTTAGTAGTATATAGATTGATTAGACAAACTGGATGTCAGATAAAAATTTCAGAAATAATGGACATTTAGGAGCTAACATATACTTGTTCTATTCAGAAAACTACTATTCTGAAATAATATTCTCTTTGATTAGAATGCTACTCTAGATTAATAAATAAAACATTTAAACAGAGGGCAATAGAAGATTTGTGGTAAAATTCTATATGTGGAAAGGTTCTGCCCTTGTAAAGATGGTAATATTGAAACACAAATTCATATTCTGCTATATTGTAATTTCTATCAAGACACACAAAGAGCTGTTAACTCCTCTTTTAACTCCATTTCCGTGATGGACTGAAGAATGTTATGTGCAGTTTTTATTAGCAGATAAAGACTCCAAGGTAACTCTTGCCATTGCAAAGTTTGTTTCTGCTGCTTGTAAAACTTGCATATTGCTGATAGCAAAATAGCGCAAGCATGTTTGTATACAGTATTTTTTAATCTTGTATGCTCTATTTTATCTTGTATGTTCTATTTTGTAACTCTACGCCTATAGGTTTTATTTAGAAAGTTTTATTTAGTCTGGGTCACTGACCTCTAATAAAAGATTTGATTTGTTTTAATTTGACAGCGATGGTTGAACTATTTACTTCAGCTACAGGGGAAGGCTATGAATCAGAAATAAGCTGAAAACAAAAGACTCAGTCTAAAAAAAGCAAAGTTGTCCATGTTGGTCCTTAAGAAGATAATAAATCTTCAATTGATTGTGAAGTATTTTATAAACAGAGTAGCAAGCAACTTTTGAATTCTCAAAACTCATCAAGCCAAATATTATGCAAAGCAGTGGATAAGGGAGAGGATGGGGACATTTTAAAAAGTGTTGGATAGTATAGCCATAAGGCTACATTTAGGTATTGATTCAAGCTAGATGGCATTGTTAGGCATAGCATTATGAGATAAAGAAGCACTGACTTACTTAAAAGAAAGGTCGGAGTGACTTACATATCTCTCTTGCTTTAGTGAAACAAATATAAAGAATAGAGAAAAGAATAGAGAAAAAACATGTCCATCTACACATTAGCAAAATGCTATTACTGGATGGCCACTGCACGTATTATATTCCAAACTTGGCGAAACTCAAGAGGAATGTGATTCAGAACTGGGGGGCTGCTTCCATGCCATTCCACTTGTATTTATAGCAGTGCTACCAGAACAACGTGAGTTGGGAAAGTGATTTATGGTTACTCCTCCATGCTTCCCCTGGGCTGAGTGACTTTGCCAGGGAAATCATTTCCTCAGCTGCATGACTAATTTGATTGTGTGGCCTAAGAAATAACTACATAAAATGACTACTATGATCTTTGGCCGTTGGAGTCTCTAAGGTGACACTCTTATGTATCTATTTGAGGGTTTCCTTCTAGGTAAGTATATGCAGGATTGCAGCCTACATGATCTAGCAAAGGGGGGAGTAAATTAACGAGTGATTTAATTATCCATAGTAATAATTAAAGAACAATCCTTAGATAGAGACCTTGAAATATTTTTGACTTGTATGATGTTCCACATTAAAGGATTTGGTGTATATGTGTTTGTGTAAAAAAACAAACCCAAGATGATTCAGTGGGTCTTTTTCACTGGAGAGCTGAGTTGCCAGTTGTTCCACTGGCTGCTGTATCTCTCTCTCTGTAGAGGCAGCTTAGTGTGCAGGTGGTGAGAGTTGGCCTTGTTTGCCTGGGTTCTGTGAATACTTTCACTAGTTGATTTCTCCATACCAGCAGGTGAAACTTTTCACAGCACAAAGGTAAACAGACCCACCTGCTAAATTCTGTGCAACAAGCATCTGTTGATAGGATTAGAGCAAGAACAATCCTTAGATAGAGACCTTGAAATATTTTTGACTTGTATGATGTTCCACATTAAAGGATTTGGTGTATATGTGTTTGTGTAAAAAAACAAACCCAAGATGATTTGGTGGGTCTTTTTCACTGGAGAGCTGAGTTGCCAGTTGTTCCACTGGCTGCTGTATCTCTCTCTCTAGAGGCAGCTTAGTGTGCAGGTGGTGAGAGTTGGCCTTGTTTGCCTGGGTTCTGTGAATACTTTCACTGGTTGATTTCTCCATACCAGCAGGTGAAACTTTTCACAGCACAGAGGTAAACAGACCCACCTGCTAAATTCTGTGCAACAAGCATCTGTTGATAGGATTAGAGCAGGCTGGGCTGGTTTTCTGTTTTCCTTAGTTGGCAGGGCTATTGAAAGACTAGAGTTATCAACTGTTGACCTGGAAATAAGGCCTCTTCTTTAAAAATTGCCACAAGGCAACAGATGGGACACAGCTGTTATACCTGTTCCTCCCAATGCACATTGTAGCACAAAAGCAACATATGGATAGAGTTGTTGGGGCACTAAGAGAGGATTTTCAGATGGATCTCCTGGTGATGAAGCAGCTCAGGCACTGGGACCCCATCCCACTCTGCAGCGTTGAGGGTAGGCAGAGAGGAGGAAGAAGGATGGGTGCTTCTTCCCTTCTACAGTAGCGGGCCCAAGCACTTCAAGGGACTCCCTTCACCTTTTTAGTCACTGGGAAAATATGCCTCCCCTGGCTGAGGAAAGGAGGAAGAGCAGGCTGGCAGTAATGGTGCTGCTATGATTGATTTGGGGGTAGCAGTGAAGGAGGAGGAGGAGATGGGATAGCTCCAGCTCCTCCTTCCTTCCTTCCAACTGCTTCCTCATTACAGCTCCTATTGGGGCTCCTTATGACCTGGTTCATTGTTGTTGTAAATATTGAAGGCATGGGACAAAGAGTGGGATAAGGGGGAACCCATGTCTCCCTGGGCCAATGGGCTCCAAAGTTTCCCCCTCTGCCTCCACTGTTTAGAGGAGTAAAGTCTACTTGCCATAGTCTTGGGGGGGGGAGGGTGAACAGATGAGCAGACTATCATATCTTCAGTGGTCACATCTGTCTTATGGTTTTAGTGACTTTCAGAAACTCCATGCACACTGATTTGGCTGCTGACAAGCCTAGAAAGGGTTCATGGTACAATACTGTGTTCCCCTGTGTATGTTTACTCAGAAATAAGCTCCACTTAGGAGACACTTGTTCTCTAGTGTGGTTTACAGTTGCAGTCTAAATTGAGCTGAATAATATAACAAAATGATAAATCTTTTTCTAATGGTAGCTACATAGGGCTGTGTGGGTGAGTGTGCCCATCCTTTGACATGTGAAGTATGCCCTTTCTGCCCATTCTTTCTGAATTGGATACAGGAACATGTCATAAAAGTGTTTTAAAATATGAGTTTTCAATTACATGTACTTTATCTATGAATAATTAAGGCATTTTTTAAAAAATGACTAATTTTTCACCTTCCTGCTGTTGTGCTAGCCCACACTTAAGGCAGCTTGTGCAATCTTGCTCATGCTTATTTGGAAATGAAATCCAACAGAGTTCAGTTCTTGTACCAGAGCAGGCATCGCTTAATTGGCTTTTGCAACTAGTATCTGTATGGAGACTCGGCTTTTTGAGAGCGGACTTTGTAAGTTGTATGTACGCGTGCATGCACGCTTTCAGGAAGAGGAGGTGGCGGATGTGAAGTGCTGCTTTTTAAGGAAGGATGTGAAGAAGCAAGTTTTAAAGGAGTCATGCGCATTTTAATCTCTTTTGTGGTTTTAGAACACCATTGGGAGCTTCCTTGGATGAACAGAGCAACCCAGCATTAAAAGGTAAAAGTCTGGCACTTTCTTGCTCGTTAGACTGAAAGTACAAGAATAATAACTCCCAAAATTGCAGTTTTGAATTGAAGCTGTTTGGATGTTGCTGAGAGAACCTTGTGTCCCCCCTCCCCCACCAGTGCTTCTGAATAGGAGTGGGATGTTCAGGGTTGAGTACTTACCGTATTCATGTCTCACGAGTGATAAAGCCAAGTGGGACTCGTGTAGATACGTCTGTTTGGATGAGAGAGAGCAAGAGCGAAGCATATTGAGAAGTAGGTCAACCTTTCAGTATATTCTTTCTTGGCTGGCTCTGACTGAACTCGCCACACCTGAAAAGTTACCACTTGCACAAACCAGAATGCAAAAGTTCAAAGTACGACAAGAATGTGCAGGTAGTGACAGGGCAGAGAAGAAGCCCTTGCAGGAGGTGGAGTTCTTTCATTTCATTTTCCAAGGATGAAAGGGAATGCTTGTTTCTGGACAGTACTTAGGCTTAAAACTTTTGGTAAGCGATTTCAAAATGTAAACTTTGTGCTATGCTACATGTGACATAGAATTACTAAGGTATGTGGCATTGTAGATATGAAATGACTCTTTTTCCCTTTTATCTTGAGAGTGTCTTTGGAAGTTTTCTCCCCCCCCCGCCTTTATTGTAAGGTTTCTCGTTTATGTTCAGAACTTCCAGTGCTAACAGTGTGAGGCTTATTAGACTAGCACAAACTTCACTACCACTTTGTATAATATGCTAGTGTTATGGGGTGGTTAAAATATGGGATTAGAACTAGGACCAGCTTTATACCCAGTTTCAGCCATGGAGTCTTAACATAACTTTGGGTCAGTCAGTATTTCACAGGGCTGTTGTGATGGGGAAAGAAATGGAGAAGGGAATGCTATGGAGGAAAGATGAGATACAAATGAATAAACATTCTAAAATATATTTAGTGTTTTAATTTACAGTTGACAGTTTTGCTGGAAAATAACCCTAACCATAGGTTTTGATTTTACCAAACTGATATCTTTTTTAGGCATGCTGGTGAGGAATGGAGGAAGTTTTGAAGATGATTTATCTCTGGGAGCAGAAGGTGGGTGTGGCATTAAGCATATGCTTTTTTTTAAGAAAAAAAATAGAACTGGTCTGTTTTTCTAGAAAAGAACAATATATTTTTATTCTGATTGAAGCATGTGAACTAACTTGTTACTGTAAAAAAATAGGAAGAGATCCTTGGAAAAATGTGTCAGAAATCATCTGTCAATAAAATGTAATAACGGTGTATCTGCAAATCTTTTTCAGTTTTCAAAACAAGACAAGTATGTTCATGACAAATTGTGTTTCAGTGAGACATTACAACTTCCTTGAAATTTCACCCCTCTGTTTCTGTCCCTTTTTAACAAAAATATTATGCATATTGTTCTTGGAGCCAGATATATTTCTGGAAAAATAATTATTTTGTTTTCAGATCAGTTAATTATTTTGTTAAACTATGTGGGCTTTCTCTTTATCTGCTGTGTGATTTGTTTGTTTTAAACAACAGGCCTTTAAGATTCTGGGAACTGAACCTAGAATCATTTACTCTTATGCCTCATTTGTGTTGCTATGACCTATTTGGATTTTGTTTAATAGAATATAACTTAGCTAAACTTTTGGTCCACCAACCCCCATTATTGTTTCCTGTACAACAGCCCACTAGTGCAGACCAAGACAGATGCTACATATTATAGAAGGATGAAATGATACTCAATGAGACTCAATTGCTCAGTATTTTAAATCTGAACAACAAGAGTCAACCACAGATTGCCATTTCAAAGCCTAAGAGCTCATGACTCCATTCACCGATCCTAGCCTCAATCTGACTTCTTTGCCAGCACAGAGGAGAGTATGAGAAAGCCTTTGCATGATTGTGAGACAACAACAATTCTTAGTTTTTTCTGTAAGACAACTTCTATGGTTGCATGAGGCTTCTAGTTTTAATTGCTGTTAACCAATAGTGTAGGGGAGCAGCAACGCAGTGAGCAAAGTGTGTGGTGTCCTGGCCTAGGATGGCAAGAGTGGACAGGAAGTATCTGGCTGGCAGACCTGGAATAGCAGTCAGATGTTGTGTGCTCCAGAACAGCCTTCCCTCTGCCTAGGACCTTCCGTGTGCATTGGGACTGCAGAATTCACCATCTGTAATATTCAGAACTGGAAAAATGGGATGGGGAATTCTGGGAGTTGGAATCTCAGCACATCAAGGGGACATTAAGTTGGGAAAGGCTGCTTTGGAATATTAGACACTGAGGGGACTGTTCTCAACCTGCCAGCTATTCTGAAATATGTAAGAATGGTTTTATATCAGGTCTGTCTGGTATTAATTTGAACTTATGGCATCACAGTAATGGGATCCGATTTTGGCAAGAAAATTTTTTAAGGTTTTGTTAACATTTTCCAGAATGGTTAAAAAAAACCTTATTCTTTTTATAGGATTTATAAACATCAAGTCAGAGTATATTGGCATAAGATTTCTCACAACAAACTTGGATTAAGGTTTCTTTGTTTATTGTGAAACAGTTATTTTCATTTTATTTGTTAGGGTTTACTTGATTTCTGTTTATAATTAATCCGTGGAGTGCACAGAAAGATTCCAAGAATTAGATGCCAGGATATGGTGAAATGTTCATGGCTCATTCTGAGTCGTGCCGAAGCTTTACCTTCAGGCCTCTTCTTGCATTAAACCATTTCTGGAATACTCAATACGTGTCTTGGAATCAGATATGTATTAAAACTAGCTTTTCAGATACTGGGAAAGTGGAATAATAACTGTTCAATAGTGAAACAGACTTTTCTGTTTCACTATTGCCACTGGTGAACACATTTTTGTATGTGTTTGCAGGATTTTTTTAACCAAATTATATCTGCTGCAATAAGTCCTAAATGTTTCTGGGTATGCCACCTTCCTTGCATCTCTTCTTGACTTGAAATAAGGGTTTTCATTTTTTCAGCCTTTGCTTATAAACAAATATTTTTGGTATTGAGAGGATGCTCCTAGTTTCGATTGCAGCGTCCTGAGGGAATTAAGATGATACGTTTTAAATATAGGCCAAGAACACCAAGCCGTGATTGTGTGTAACAAATCCTATACCATTATTTTCTTGTTTTCAACCCAAAAGAATGTTGGAAAGAAATTATGTAGATGGGCTTTGGACTCTCCATCAGCAGAATAGCTCTGACAACTAACTCAGTGGGACCAAACTTGGTCTGCAGAAAGAAGTCTGCAAAAGAAAGGGGGTTGACAAATGGGCTGAATCAAGCTGGGGAATGTAGAGAAAGAAGAATTGCAATGCATCCCTTTGGGCAGCAGCCTAGAATGATGCTGACTGCTCCATTCTAACGCCCTCCTTCTCCCCTCCCCACCCCGATTGTGTAACCCAGAGCTGAGTATATCCATTCTGCCCTGGGCTCCCCGGTACATACAGTATATAAGCATAAACACACAGATGTGCAACATAGGGAGAGAGCAGAAGCACAAATGTAGGGACATACTTTTATTCTACAGAGAAAAATACAGATGCCTCCTATGGCCACTGGTGGTAAAGGAATGAAAAGAATTCCTTGTGTGCTCTCCCTGCCTTATGCAAAATAAATATTCAGGCAAGGGTCTTGCTAGAAATTCTAATGTGGGATCATTTTCTCAGATCCAGCATGAAACAGGATCACCTATTGATCACATATTTCTTCTATCCTCAGATGTATAGTTAGTTCATCCATGTCACTAGGTCTCAATGCCATTTATTTGATTTGGCTGGGGATCTTGTGTAAACCCATCCTTTGTGATTTGTAAACCAGGGTCTGTGGCTTAACATACTGCATGAACCTAGCCAACTGTGATTTATCCAACAGTCTCGGGGGGAGATGGGCAGCATATAAATGTAATAATAAATGAATAAATAAAAATAAAAATCCATTGTAAAAACAATTAGCAATGCAGCATGCATTCAAAATATCATTTATAAAATAAAAGCGATTGAATTGCTTGTTATTTCTGTTAATGATTACAATGTATTTTTGTTTCTGTAATTTGTATGTATAAATTTATATTCATTCTCTCCTTCCTTTCCCCCCCCTTCTTTAGCAAATCAATTGCATCAAAGCAGTGAACAAATGGAAATCTGGTAAAAATTCAGACTTTTTGCTTTGGAGTAATGTCTGACATGAAGTTAATCTTTCTGTATGAACATGATTCTTTTTAATGGTTTGTCATCAAGCACATAAGCTGATGAGACACAGCTGTGAGCGGCTTTTTTTCCCCTTCCCAAAAAGCTGCATTAAGTTAATTTTGGTTTTTTCTTTAATTTTGAGTGAGATAGTCCACTTTCTACCCACCATAATTATGATGCAGATCCCAAACTGATGAATGGATCTTCCATGACCCATTATGGCACCTCTGTAAAACCTCTTTCCAGATCTGGTGAATGGTGATAGACTCTAACAGGTGTATCACCATTGCATTAGTCACTGGAGGTACTAATAAAAACTCCATATAGTTCCAGCAATTGGGAAAAGGCAGAGTACAGCATATTGTGTTTCCATATTATATAGAATTATAAAAAAACAATTTCAATCAAGTACATTTACCTGTCGTTCTGATTGTAATTCAGTTACATAATTATTGACCAGAGGAGTAACCTATTGTCTCCGAGATCTTTTTGGGTGGCCCTCAAAGCCCCTCAAACTGCACTTCTAAATGTAATGTCCTACGCTTTGAAAAGAAGCTGTAGTGTTAGTTTAAAATAAGCTTGATGCAATTAAAAGTAGAAAAAAACCTACTTTCTCCCCTGACACTCCCCCCCCCCAGGAACAGAAAATTCTGGCTCTACTTGCATGTCTACAGTGGGGTTCACCACTGTACTTTGCATTGTTTTTCTTACCTTCTACAACACTGTTTTCCATCAAGCCAATAACTGTGACTGATCTGGTCCACAGACGTTTCCCACTTTTGTGCTTTAGCAAGTAGCAGTCCAAAACATCTGGAAGGAGAAAGTTCTACTCTTCAGCTGAGGAAATAAGTGATGCTGTTAAATTACCATTCATTTTTGTGCTTGTACACTTAATTTCTTTCAAACTAAAATTCTGTGCCGCGATAAAAAAGCAGAAGTTCAGTACAGCTCTCTGGATGTGATAAATAGAACTAGGTGGGGTACTTTTAGCAGAGGAAACAGTTGTGGGGTTTGGAAGGGATCATGAGGCTCATAGTGGAAAGCTGCTGCTGTGCATTGTAACCAAAGTGATTTTAAGAAAAAGAGGAGGAGTAGAATTTTGGATATTTGGGGTATTCTTAAAGGATGAGGCAAGCTCTCCACCCTTGTAATTATGGATTCCCTTTGTGTTGTCAGTAATAGTATGTTGGCAAAGGACAAGAGACTTCAGTTTCATCAGAGGGGGAGAAGTATGAATTCCACTGGCTCAGGAAAAAGCAGTGCAACCGTTTCTAGGTAAGCAAAGGACTATTAGTGTGGGATAAGTGGTCAATGACATTTTTTTATTCCACCTCTTTTTTTCTTCTGGAAAAAAAGAAATCACATTTTATACAGTTTTATCACAGTCTCACTTGCCTGCAGCTTGATGATACCTCCTTTTGAGATATACTTAAAAATTGCCACCTTTGGAGTTTCATGATCTTTCGGCATGCTATGTTATGGCAGCTATGTGTGTTCATATATCTGCCTTATTCGCATATGTTTTTCATTCGAATTAAATGGGAACAGCAAGTGATGGGAGTTGAATCTCTTGAATTCTGGTGATGGAAACTGCCCTGCCTTCCAGTTTCTGGAGTCTAGGAGTATACCATGGGGTTCATCTGGATTAAGACCACTATGAGAGAAATATATTCCTTTCCCATAGACTTCTTATTTCCTGAAATGTAAACATATACTTCTATATGTGCCGGAATTTTAAAATTCCTTTGTTGCCAGTGGAATTTAAGAGGAAAAAAACTCCACAGGAAGTAAAGGAAATCCACAGGAACAGTTCCACGCTGTGTTCTTCAAAAGTCTCCTTTGAGCTGAACTTGATTCCTGGTGATGTCATGGACATATCCATGTACTTTTCTTGGCAATGTTGTAAAGTGGTTTACCATTGCTGCCTTCTGGTGATATTTCTTGAACTTCCCAGTCTAGTCTACAGATCTTGCATTCTCTGAATAATTTGTGGAGTTTAGTTCTCAGACTTTTTGCTATCCACTCATCTCCCTGTTGAATTCCATACTTCTGCTCTCAGGCTCATGGCAGAGCAGAGGGAGGAGAGAAATGCAGCTAAACTTTTCTTCCCTGATTTCTCTCTTCCTTTCTTGCCAGGATGGCAGGCTGGACTGGAAACATTGCTGGGAATTGGAACTTCTAATGTTTTGCTTCCTAATCAATGAAGAATTTGATAGATCATTGGTGTAATTTTGTACTATGAGTAGAGTAGGTGAAATGTGCTTGGAAGCGGTTTCGCTTGAAGGAGTTCCTAATGCAGCTCGTAGCACCTAGTTGATCTTAGCTGACCTCAGAAAGCTAAGAAGGGTAAGATTCATATTTGGAAGAGAGACTACTAGGAAATTGAAAAAGTTTTGAAAGATGGCAATAGAAACCACTCCTGCATTACCAAAACAACTCTTCACAGATGTGTTCGTGCAGTCATCAGTTGAGCTTAGCTCAAAGGAGACTATCTTCTGTAAAGGAGAGAATGGATCTGTGTGGTTCATTCTGCATTTCTGTTGCTACCCCATTGCCCTCCATTCATTGGAGGGCAATGGTTTTGAGTGGGCTACCTGCTATATCTGTAAAGCCTCCACACATAATTTGAGAGCAAATCAAGTGGTGTATAAAGTACACGATATCACACACCATTGCTCATATGGTTGTGATTACACCAGTGCTGCATTAAGGCCAATGTGTGCAAGATGCTGGGAGCCTAATCTCCCCTCCCCCATATCCTTTAAAAGATAAAGCTCCTTACTCAGGCTGTGCAGACTCTTTTTTACAAAGTAAACCCACATAGACTCAGGTCAGTCTGTATTAAGTATTTTAAAAAAGAGGTGGCTGAGAAGGTTGGCTGAATGCCTTCAACCTGCATGTGACAGCCCTAGCCTGGTTCAGGCCATCATTGCTTTGTATTTAAGAAATAAAGTACTGAAAAGGATGAGGTGCCACACATTTCTGCAGAGCATTTTGGTTGCCCCTTAGAATCCAGATCTTATAGGATTTGAAATGATGCAGTGAGTTTGCTGTCCAAGTACAGAATGCTTCTCGCTGCTTTCCAACACATGGAGAGCAATGCAGTTATGACAGAGAAGACTGGGTGAATAAGCAAAGTCTAGCTCTCTGCCTTTTCACAACAGTATAGTTGAACTGCGAGTTTATGGGTCGGGCTTTGCTTTCAAGGAAGCTTGAAGAAGATGTATGACAGTCTGTCCCTATATATAATTTTTGATTGAAATCATACAGACTTAAACATTCTTCTAGGTAAGTTCTGTTCCTCGTTACTCTCCAAACTGAATTAATAGCGTAGCCTTTTCTAGGTGTGCTTAGAAGTAAGTCCTGTTAAAATTAATAGAATTATGGGAGAGTGTACAACAAATATTTCAAATATTTATCATTGCTTTATGAATTAAATTCAGAGGCACAGTCTTAAGTAGACCAAACTCTCCATTTATAAATTTATTTTTAAGTAAGTTCACAGAATCAAAAAGCCCTTTCATCTTTCTTAAATGCGTAAAATTAGAGTCTGAATCTTTTAATCCAAGTATTCGATTTAACTGTCTTATAGATTTCACCTCTACTTAACCAGAAAGGGAGAATATGTAGTGCAATTCTTGTGTTCTTGTTTTAATATAGTGTGTCTGAACTACTGGAACTCTATGAGGAAGATCCTGAAGAGGTTCTCTATAATCTTGGATTTGGACGTGATGAACCAGATATTGCTTCTAAAATTCCATCAAGGTTTTTTAATTCATCATCTTTTGCAAGGGGAATAGATATCAAAGTGTTTCTGAGTGCCCAACTGCAACGAATGGAAGTGGAAAATCCCAATTTTGCTTTGACAAGTATGTGTTTCTTTCCTTACTTGGCGGTGTACAAATTCAGTAAACATAAATGCATAAAAATTCAATATGTTCCTAAATAATTTCAGAAGTTGGCTATGAAAAGTATGATGGTGCCTGATTAAACTCCTTGTTTTTCAGGATAGTAAACTAGAAATAAAGGGAGCTAAAGTTATTAGTTGCAAAGTCCTTCTAGTT